GAAACTGCACCCCCACCTCATCATTACTTAATTCATGTAAGCAGAAGACGAGTTTCTCAACAAACTCTTCTTAGTCAATATAATTTGCGAGTAAAATGAAGTGAAAAGGGCAAAAATAGAGACTATACAAATCATCTTTATCAGTGACACAGCACGCCAAAGTGTCGAAATACCGCAGATAATTATATGAAAATAATCAGGAATCGGTCAACTCAGACGACATAGAGGACTTACACCTCTCATACCATTTCAACAACTTAGCCTATTCGGAAGACTGAAAATGCCCAAAACAACATCGAAGCCTCAGACGACCGGCCGGTTAAATGATTTAGACATCTCAGATGATGCAAACGACTCAGACAACCCGAACAACCCACACGTTTCACACGGAGCATTCTACTCAGACGACTCTAACGACTTAGATGACTTTAAGTATCCATACGCCCTAGACGAATCTAACGGATTCAACGATTCGGAAACGTCAGTAGACACAGATGACTTAGGCAACTCAGACGTCTCTGAAAAGTAAGACGATGTGTTTATTCCACCTTACGAGATCCATATAATGACTTGAATGATGCTAAATATAATCCCATATTACGTTTCAAAACACAACATTAGAAACCTTTGAATACTTGCAATTTTTATCTCAACATTTTTAAATCCTGCTGCGAGTGCTAATATGATTTTGCTTTCGGGGTCGAAAATCCCATTTAGACTGGAGATGAAATTTTCGTCAATATGTAGATTTTCGAAATTTCCAGTATATCACCCTATTTCGTTTAATGTAATGATTTTTCGACCGGTAGTTGAATTTTCCCTCAATTATATGAGCAGGCTACATATTTTCATTGAATTTCACATAATCTATTTTTTGTCGAAACTACATTCCCCTTTAGATACACAAGGCTATGTGAAATTCCATGAAAATGTAAGTTCTACTCACATAATTGCGGGAAAATTGAACCATCAATCCTTTCTTACTTTTATGAAAGATAGTGAATACATCTCCACTATAGATTATCACCTTTCCATCGAAGCTCCAACCAAATTAATTTTGAGATGTATTCACCCAATTTTGTTTGAGGTGATGAAGGACTAGTAGAAGAAGAATTTTCCCACAATGATATGAGTTGAACTGACGTTTCCATTGCATTTCACATAGCCTTGCTTCCCAAAAGTTATTCTCATTCAGGGTAGACTGCAGTTTCGACCTCGCATCGGTCTTATCAACACTCTCAGTGTGTTGAGTTTCTCTTCTTCTCTTACTCATCCTATTGTTGGTATTTCAGCTATCATTTTTTACAAGAGTCGTTTTACTTCGTTTTGACAATTTGGTAGTATTATCTGAGAGAATTGGATGCACCCAGCTTGTCCGTAATCTTCCGCCATAATAACCATCTGTAGATTTTGGAGTGTACCAAGTCATGGAAATTAGCGTGGATACTATGCAGATGAGTGTTGACAACGTGCGTTTATCTAGTTCGCCCTAACAACACGATCAAGTTGCGAAAACGACGTTCAATCACGACTATACAACGAAGGAAAATCGCGAAAGTTTGGTATTCATACTTTCAATTGTCATTTTTTAATCTCCACATAAACAAACTTGCTTGACTTGA